TCCTATACAACCTATACACTCCTACATCATCTATACTTCCTATACCACACATAGGCTCCTACATCAGCTTTATTAACTATATCCTCCTACATCATCTATACTTCCTATACCACACATACACTCCTACATCAGCTTTATTAACTATACCCTCCTACACCACCTATACCCTCCCACATCACCTATGCACTGTTGCACCACCTTTACCATCCTACATCATCTTTACTTCATATTCCATCTATACCCTCCTACATCACCTTGACTTCCTATACCACCTATAGCCTCCTACATCAACTATACTTCCGACATTACCTTAACTTCCTATACCACATTTACCTCCCTGCATCACCTTTACTTCCTATACAAACCTTACCCTCCTACGTCACCTTAACTTCATTTTCCACATATACCCTCCTACACCATCTTTACTTCATATACCACCTATACCCTCCTATGTCATATATACTTCCTATACCACCTATACTCTCCTACATCACATATACTTTACCTCCTATACAAACCTTACCCTCCTACGTCACCTTAACTTCATTTTCCACATATACCCTCCTACATCATCTTTACTTCATATACCATCTATACCCTCCTACGTCATATATACTTCCTATACCACCTATACTTCCTATACCACATATACCCTCCTACATCAGCTTTATTAACTATACCCTCCTACACCACCTATACCCTCCCACATCACCTATGCACTGTTCCACCACCTTTACCATCCTACATCATCTTTACTTCATATTTCATCTATACCCTCCTACATCACATTGACTTCCTATCCCACCTATAGCCTCCTACATCAACTATACTTCCGACATCACCTTTACTTCCTATACCACATTTACCTCCTTGCATCATATCCTAAACAAACCTTACCCTCCTACGTCACCTTAACTTCATTTTCCACATATACCCTCCTACATCATCTTTACTTCATATACCATCTATACCCTCCTACGTCATATATACTTCCTATACCACCTATACTTCCTATACCACATATACCCTCCTACATCAGCTTTATTAACTATATCTTTCTACTTTAACTGTACTTTATATACCACCTATATCTTCCAACATCCCATTTTCTTCCTAACATGTACAACTCATACCATCCTATGTCATCTATACTTCCTATACCACCTTATTACCCTCCTACATCATCTTTATTTCATAAACCACCTATACCCTCCTACACCACCTATATTTCCTATACCACCTATACCCTCCAATGGCATCATACTTCCTATACCACATATACCCTCCTTCATCAGCTTTATTAACTGTATCCTCCTACATCACCTATACTTCATATACCACCTATACACTCCTACATCACATTTACTTCCAATACCACATATACCCTCCTACATCATATTTACTTCATATACCACCTATATCCTCCTTCATCACATTTACTTCCAATACCACATATACCCTCCTACATCATATTTACTTCATATACCACCTATACCCTCCTACACCACCTATACTTCCTTTACCACCTACACCCTTCTTCATCACCTACAAATGTCAACTGTCTTTACCGTTTATAACCCCCTGCATTTATTTAGTTATTTTATTTAAGTAATTATGTTCATTTATTTATTTCATTTTATTGATTTATTAATTAATTTGTTTTCTTTATTCTATTCAATTATTTTTATTTCAGTTTATTGATTTATTAAATAATTAGTTTTATTTATTCAATTTAATTATTTATTGATTTTTTTTTTTCATTTGTGGCGGTTTTTGCCATTCGTGGTTTCACCATAATCACGTACTTTATTATACTTTTCAATATTTTAAATACTTATTTGAATACTCATCACTAATTTATTAAATGTCAAAAATTAATAATAATGTGTCCTCTCAATTCAGCTAAAAGAAATACCGAATACACCACTACTGTAGTAAAATTGCTAGGTCTCAATGATTTTCAATGACGTAATCAAAATCTATATATTGTCAATGTTGGCAGGGGCCTTGTACCTCTCGAACCTCGCAGGAAGCACCCCCGAGACATATTGCGAGTCGAGCGCAGGACTTACATACTTCGACCTGGACGTAAACAAAACCCACAATATAGACAATAGAATTAACGAAAAAGCATACACACATAGAGATAAAACTACAAATATTTTATAAAATGAAACTCGCCGTTTAGACGCACTAATTATAAGCCTCTCTTCAATACAGACTACCCTGGTGTCGTTACGAAACCATCAGCCCATGCGTGCAGTGATGGAAGTATTTGTAGATTTAGTTGAATTCGATTCATATATTCATATGAACAGAATGATATAAGTATGAAAATTTAATATCTAGAACATACAAATAACTAATTACTCAATTATTTTCTGCTTATATTCTCTTTATACATTATACTGCAACTGTTTCAAAATATTGGCTGTCTCTCAGCAACACCTGTCCCTAATTGGGTCTACTCTTTCTGCCCCTATGAAGCGGGATCAATTTAATTTTAACATTAACCTCAATTTTCCCTATTGGGCCCCACCCCTCTGCCCCTTCAGGGGTTCGTACCCTACGTTTATAAAACAAGAGGCCCAATGGGCCTGTATCGCTCACCTGGTATAAATCTCACACTTGTAACCTTAAAAGTGATCTAAATTAAAGCTACAGGCAAAATATCAGTATTTATGATTAAAATTCATTCAAAAGAACCTGTTAATTTTTGTTTAAACATTTCACCCCTGTGATTGAAAGTCGAACAAAGTCATTATGTTGAACAAATGTTATAGCCTTTCATCTCAGGATTCAACTTGCATAGTATCAACATAGTATCAACATGGGACCCATGGTTATTCAGAAGAGGTCGTTTAAAGATTTTAAACAAATTTGACCCCTGTGACCTTGTATATAAGTCAAAGTCATTCACTTTAACAAACATAGTAGTCCTTTATCTCAGCATGCTACTGACTAAATATCAACATCCTGAGTATGTTGGTTATTCAGAACAAGTTGTTTAAATATTTTGAACATATTTGCTCCTTGTGACCTTGAATATGATTCAAGGTAATACATTTGAACAAACTTGATAGCCCTTTACCCCAGCATGGTACTGGCCAAATATCATCACCCTGGGCATTTTGGTTATTCAGAAGAAGTTGTTCAAAGTTTTTAACATATTTGATCCCTGTGACCTTGAATATAGGTGTAGGTCATTCATTTGAACAAACCTGATAGCCCTTTACCCCAGCATGCTACTGGCCAAATATCATCACCCTGGGCATTTTGGTTATTCAGAAGAAGTTGTTTAAAGGTTTTTTAAGACAATTGACCCCTGTGACCTAGAACATAGGTGAAGGTCATTCATTTGAACACACTTGATAGCCCTTTACCCCAGCATGCTACTGGCCAAATATCATCACCCTGGGCATTTTGGTTATTCAGAGGAAGTTGTTCAAATTTTTAACATATTTGAACCCTGTGACCTTGAATATGGGTGAAGGTCATTCATTTGACCAAACTTTGTAGCCCTTCATCTCAGCATGCTACTGGACAAATATTATCACCCTGTGCATTTTGGTTATTCAGAGGAAGTTGTTCAAATTTTTAACATATTTGAACCCTGTGACCTAGAATATGGGTGAAGGACATTCATTTGAACAAACTTTGTAGCCCTTCATCTCAGCATGCTACTGGACAAATATCATCACCCTGAGCATTTTGGTTATTCAGAAGAAGTTGTTCAAAGTTTTTTACATATTTGATCCCTGTGACCTTAAATATGGATGAAGGTCATTCATTTGAACAAACTTTGTAGCCCTTTATCCCAAATATGGGAAAATATTCTCATTAAATATAACACTGCAACTATTTCCAAATATTGGCTCTCTCTCTCAGCAACACCTGTCCCTCATTGGGTCCCTTGTTGCTGCCCCACTGAAGTAGGGTGGCTTTTAAACCTTTACCTCAATTTCCCCTTATTGGTCCCGCCCTACTGCTTTAAGGGGGACACATCCTCAACTTATTCAAAGTTGATTTCACATCTCCTATGGATGCTCTACAACATATTTTGGAAAAAGTCACTCAATTTGAACAAAAGGAGAAGAATTTTTAAGATTAAAATATCCCTACATTCTCTCTAATGGGCTGTGCCCCTCTGCCCTGAGGGGTTTGGGGGATTCCCTTTGTCAAATTATGATTCACAAGAATAAAGGATTTTAAAGATTTGTCCCTATTTGGCTCGGCCATGCCCCTGTACCCAGAGGAGGCCACACTCTCCATTTATACAAAATTGAGTACCCTTTGCTCAAGGATCCTCTACACCAAATTTTGTAAATATATCCACTGAGCCATCCAGAACTACTAACATTTTAAAGGAAAAGTTGACAGATGACGGAGGGACGACACTGTGCCATAAGCATAAGCTCACCAGTCCTTTGGACTAGGAGAGCTTAACACCATATTATTTCAAGCGACTAAAACATGTTTAGCCCATTAGCTTCAGCATAATATATAATTATATACATGGAGTAGAAAGAAAGGCAATTTTAGAAAATTTCATTCATAAAAGAGCTTCTCAAATATTGTTAGATCAGTCCAGAAATTGTATAATATATAACTAGTTACCATTGGAAACCTTCATGCGAAATTTGGGAAAGCTTCCTGAGAAAAAGCGGTTACATTTTTTAGCTCTCAAAATTCAAGAAGGCCGCCTATCAGCCATCTTCATATTTAATGGACCATGGGGAACTTTTGAGAAAGATCCCTCAAGTACTTTCAGTGACACTTACAATCTTAAACTTAGACTGCCTATCAACAATTTTGGTTCTCCAATTAATTTCAAAATCTATTATGTATAACTAGGCACTCAATTGACAAAGGTTCATTAAAATCCTGTTATATAGATGAAGTTATTGTGCAGAAACCATCAGCAATTCATAGCATGGTATGCTAATTAATGATGAGGATGATGCAAGTAGATGATTATCATGGATGATGCATGCTGTTACCAGTTCAAGTGTGCAGACACCTCCATAGCTATGGGCCACAATAACAATGTGTTTGGCATTGGATTTTGCTACATATTCAGTCCACAATGTCTCAACATGCTCTTCTGGGGACGAATTGCCCTACAACACACAGACAACACCATTTCATGGAGGATCTAAAAAAGACAGTAATTTGGTTTGAAATAAAATTCCCAATAAATAGAAAAAAATTAAGTCAAATTTAAGGTTAAGCTGAATAATTAAGAATGATCAGATAATTATATCTGCAACAGAACTATTGTATGATTTTAGCACAGTGTGAATACAAATTGGTAATCCTAACAAAAAGATAACAAGACCTAGAGGAGAACAGCATATATAGCTCGTCTATCAAAATTATTTTTGTAAAAAGTGCTAATAGTAATTGGGCCATTACAGGATGTCCCATCTTAGATAATAGATCAGGTAACAAGAACTACATTGCCGATGGCACTCTTCCGCTATCCCCACCAAAGTAACCTCTGAAACCCTGATTACCATATGCAAAAAAAAAATACTGTAAAATGTAGAACTCACAGTTATGTTTGATTTGATATGCTAAAAGACTATATATCAAAACAAAAATGACCCCCATGACTCCATCCCTCTGGCCCAGCCCCAGGGGGTCATATAAAAAATCTGAAAGTGTACACTCCTCCATACATATATCTACCATGTCTAAAAGTTTCAGGTTCTTCTTCAAACATTGAAGAAAAAGTTATTTTACCCTTTATCCCTCAAATAAACCCTCCCCCCATTATACCATATGGTAAAATAAATAAATTCCTGTAAAATATAGAACTCATAATATTGTTTGATTTGATATGATAAAAGACTCTTTTTGGGTTTTTTTAATATTTGATCCCCATAACCACCTAATTCGGAGGAGATGTCGTTTAAAGGCATACCATCAAATTTTCCCCTTTTGGCCTCGCCCATCTGTCCCCTAGAGGGTCAGGGACTTTACTTGTACAATCTTGAATCCCCTTCCCCTAAGGATGCTTCCTGCAAAATTTGGTTGAAATCTGCCAAGTAGTTTCAAAAGAACTAGAACTTGCCCTAAAACTTTAACCTGTAAACTTGCCCAAAAACTTTAACCAATTCCAAACAAGAGATCCCAGAGGGATCTTGGCGCCCACCTTTGTACAATCTTCATTAGTTCTTTGTCAGTTCGATCTTTTCTCTTCTTTCCTCTAATCTGTTTGATCGAGTCATGTTACAGTAAATGCACCTTGAGGTAACTTTTGATCTAAACTTAATACTGATGTGTATGAAAGCCAACCTTCAAAGTGAGTTTGTCATTTCACATATTTACTAGTACAGTACTTAATGTGAAAGAAATAGAATCGATCATTGCAATATGAGAAAGATCTGTTTAGTTCTTCTTTTAATCCATTTTGTTTTTATGATCAGTCTCAAAATATAACATACACAACGAGGGATCAAGGGGAACCTACATTTAAAATTTGAGAAAGATCCCTCCCGTACTTCCTGAGAAATAGCGATAACAAACTTTCACTATCAAAATCCAAGATGGCTGCCTGTCGGCCATGTTGTTTATCCGATCAGTCTCTAAAATTGCCCTGCACAGCTAGGACCAAGGGGAACCTACAGATAAAATTTAAGAAATATCCCTCTAGTTCTTCCGGAGAAATAGCGGTAACAAACCTACACTATCAAAATCCAAGATGGCTGCCTGTCGGCCATGTTGTTTATCCGATCAATCTCAAAAGTTTCCCTGCACAGCTAAGGACCAAGGGGAACCTGCATATAAAATTTGAGAAAGATCCCTCTAATACTTCCCGAGAAATAGCGATAACAAACTTTCAATATCAAAATCCAAGATGGCTGCCTGTCGGCCATGTTGTTTATCCGATCAGTCTCAAAAAAAAGCCCTGCACAGCTGAGGACCAAGGGGAACCTAAATAGAAAATTTGAGAAAGATCCCTCGGGTACTTCTTGAGAAATAGTGATAACAAACTTTCAATTTCAAAATCCAAGATGGCTGCCTGTCGGCCATATTATTTATTCGATCA